TTTTTTTTTTTTCTTTTCTCTCCCGGGTTCTCTCGAGAGAACCCAGGTCTGGGTTCTTCTCCGAGAACCCAGAGGTGGGGAGAACCCAGACTCACCCAACCTCTCCCTTTCCCAGGTTCTCACCTTGTTCCTTTTTTTTTTTTTCTTTTCTCTCCCGGGTTCTCTCGAGAGAACCAGATCTAGGTTCTCCGAGAAGAACCCAGGTCTGGGTTCTCGGAGAACCCAGCTCGGGTTCTCTCGGAGAACCCAGTCTGGGTTCTTCTCGGAGAACCCAGGTCTGGGTTCCCAGAGAACCCAGCTCGGGTTCTCCAGCAAAACAAAAAAAAAAAACAAAAAGGATTTCAAGTGTTTTATCCATGGTGAGGCATTTTTGGGTTTCGTTATTCACAACCACTGGGATGTAGAAGAAAAGTGCGTCCAGTGCCAAAGCGATTATACAGGCTAGGAGAAATCCCTGTGGATGAAGAATTTTCTTCTAAGAACCAGATTGGAGAATGGAAACAAGGTGGAGATTTGCAGAAAGGGGAAGAATCGAGAGAAAAGGAGTTAAAAGGTTAAATTTGTAATTACACTTTTAAAATTTTTGGTTATCTTTGGTTATGTATGCGAAGTGTGCACACCCGGGTGTTGAATCCGGTGTACACCAATCGCGGTCCTATAATAAATTATATAAAGAATATCATACAAAAAAAATTTATCCAAATCATGTTGAAGAGACTGAGTGGAATTGGTTAATTCAAAACAAATGGAAACTGACAAAGGTATGTTAATATCTAACTATTTCATTTTTAATTTTAAATATTTAAATATTATTTATTTCTTTTTACTCTATTATTTTGTAAATGATAGTATTTTAATCTTATGTATCAAATTGCAAAACAACAGTAATAAAAATAGTCTTAATAGAATTAAGGTTTAAATCCCATTCACTACTCACACAAAATCAATTATCCAAATTGTTCACGAACCAGTAATTATTAATTTGTAAATTTACAGTAAGTAATAGTTTTGTATATATGTTTTATGTTGATTATAGTATAAATTTTGATTGATTTCATTTTATTGTCATAATAGAAAGAAGGGCCAGAAACAAAAACATTGCCTTATACTTCAAAAGTATGGGAAGTGAGAGGATTGAATGCAAACAAGTAGTGGAAAGTTCCTGATGGGGAAAGAATTTTGGTAATTATTTGTATCATTTTTATATATTCATTTGCTATTTTTTTTATAATAATTTATTTATTTTTTCTATAGGAACAATTTTAAATTGTTGGAGTGGAAAATGCTGAAGAGATTTCTTCGGCTCCTATTCCACTCATAGAACATTTTAAATAGGGGTTGGGATGACTAAAAGGAGGATATGCCCAAGGTCTTGGAATAGGGGTACTTTCAAATCGTTATATGGAACAAGAATTAATTAAAGCATGTGAAGAACAGGCAACAAAATGTGCTGATGATTTGGAGAAGAGGATTTCAAATTTGGGTGAAA